CGGAGAAGCAGTGCGTCGGTGCGCGCCCGGGATCCGAACCCGGGCCGCCAGCAGCGGAGCGCGCGCACTTAACCGCTAAGCCACGGGGCCGGCCCCCCAGGTCTCTTTATAAGTCAAAATTTCTTTATAAGTCAAAACTACAGAAAGTTCAATTTAGTTCAACTGGTCCAGAGTCACAGAGCCAGTTAGTGGCAGCTCCTGGCCAAGGACCAAGATTGTCTAACATCTAGAGACTTGCCGTTTCCATTATGAGCGTCGGTAAATCTGATGCACTTAAATCCTCACTTTAGGGCTTTTCATTTGGATCACTATGAACTCATCTTCCAGTTTTTGTTCTTATAGGACTAAGTAAGAACAAATCGCAAGGCAATGAAAATCCAGTATCTGGAAGAGAAATGCTATTACCTAAAAGGATTATCTAGGGCAAAATGATACAGGTTCTTAAAACTCTGTTATTCAATCTCTGGCTCTTCTTTAGGTTCAGCCACAATGAGTGCCTCAAAACAAACTAAACCCCAAACTCAAACACCAAATCTGTGAATAAGAGAAATCTCAAAAAAGAGTTGTATTTTTACCCACATTATTTAACAGCTTCACATGAAATCTAAAACGATATTCAGACAGCTACTCGGTTCTTCTCCAAAATAAAACTCTCTTGATAATATAAACAGAATCTTGCTTTAAAGCCTTCTTACACTTATTTTAAGATGGCAATTGAAAAATCATGTAAAACAAACGTTTTCCACTGAAACTACAATACAAATTAAGAGTAAATTAATCTATTTATTTGGAGAAGTAGAAACATACACTTTGACAAATATTTGGGGAAATCACATTTTTTTAAGCCATCCTATTAACATTACTAGCAAATGTTATATATACTATTGGTCATGTGTCAGATTTTCAAGCCATCTTTTTTTCCTTTAAGAAAATAAACAGTTTTTGTCTTTGATGGCTCCTTTTTCACAATTTTACCAGAAAATATAGAAAGATGTTAATGATTTCTAGCAGCAGTTTTGAAATCCACAGCTTTCTGTGCACACACACATAAATATTATGCGTCTCACTACACTTACTGCCACCATGGTAAAAGGGACAAAATAAAGGAAATATCCAAGAGCTTTTCTTTACAGTGAGGCAAAGTATAGAATCATATAAAATAATGAAACTTTCTTGATGAGGAGATCGTTGCTTTAGCAAGCCGGGATAAGTAACAGGACAGCCCAGACTTGGCATCTCCTGCAGGACCGGCTCTGGACAGCTGCGTTCACCCGGACCCTCCGGCTGGCCACAGAGAACACTCGAACCACACTCTCGGCCAAACGTGATCCCTGGCCATTCCCATTCAACGAACTCTGTTTGAAATCGAGGATGAAGGAGCTAAAATTTCCCTGGATTAGGGTGAAACTGTGCCTTATACCCACAAGGTTAACGTGGGAAACAAAATCACCGAAGTTTCTGAGCTTGCCTTGCAGGACCGCAGGAGGACCGCTGATAAGAAAGGAACTTGCTAACAGCCCCCTGCCTGACTAAGCATCTTGCAGGAACACTGAGAAGCTAAAATGACTGGCTGTAAACTTTAGACGTCAAAGACTGAAAATCCACTGCATGCAACACACAAAACAGACAGTCACGCCTGTGCGAAGGACTCTTAGAACTTCAGCTCCTAAGGCCACATACTCCTCCTCCCCTACCTAAAACCCCAAATAAAAACTCTTGCTTGTAGCTTTTTGGGGAGTTCGGGATTACAGCGTTAGCTGCCCGATCTCCTTGCTCAGCGCTTTGCAATACAATTCCTACTTTCTTCCACTACACCCGGTGTCAGAGATTGGCTTGCTGCGACGGGTGAGTGAACTCACTTCAGGTTAGATATCATTTTGAGCGCCTAGTCTACGCCAGGCGCTGGTCTAGTTCTGGGGAACACGACTGTGATTAAGACAAAACAGTTCCTAATCTCAAGGGCTTTATATCCCACCGACAAAACAACGCCCCCAAATGCCACGTTATTTTACCTCCATTAAAGCAACTGACTCGGGCCCGGGCCATTCTTTTAGTTTCTCTGGCCTGAAATGTTCATCCCAGCGCGCCGTTTTCGCGGCGGCCATGGGCACCGAACCCTGGGAGGAGAGTCGGTCGAGACTAGGACGGCGTCGCGGTTGAAGCAGCAGGGCCTTGGGGCTCAGAGAGCGGTGTGAATCCTCGCTCTGCCCCTGAGCAGTGTGGGTGAGTAAAACCAACCAAAAAGAACCCCTCGGCGCCCCGGGCCTCCGTTTGAAAAGGGGGCGCGGTCCTCCCCCGGGTTGCCGCGAGGGCCTCGTCAGTAACGCCCCGGGGTCCGCCGGCCGGGGCCCGACGTCGGTCCCGGCCGCACCGCGAGGGCG